GGCACCAGCCATGCATAGAGGAACACAGTGACGGCTGCAATCGAGGCTAAAACGAAAAAATCTTCATTTAGTATATTCATAAGGGATTGACATAAACTGTCTGCTACATATTCGTTTTAATAAAAATAAAAAAAGACTCAAATTTTGAATCTATGAGTTGTGGGTTTAATCAGTGGTTGACCTTTAGATTTACTGATACTCAAATCTGACTGGATGTTTATATAATAATATTGAGTTAATTTCGTTTATTTATATAACTAAAACAAATACATAACAAAAAAAGTTGTGTTCTTTTATATTTGTAAAGTATAATATTAGGTCCAATTACTCTTAAAGTACCAAAGAAATCATTCTCCACAAATGTCCATGCCTACTGCAGTCTCACCTCTGTTGAATTGAGGTCTGTAGTGATACCCTGGGTCTCCCATATTGATCAGAAATGTGTAGAGGTCTCCACTGATGGCCAATGAGAACACTAGAGTCACACAGATCCAGAAAGGACCTGACAAGAGGAAGGAAAACAAAAACTAAAATGTTTGACAGTTTCATGATAATCCACATTCATTCAAATATAAAGAAATCGTTTGGCTGTGTTGTTAAGAAGTGCTCTGCAAGATTAAATAATATCTACATTACCATAGAGATCAGGGTTATTTCGAATGTGGTGTTTGACAAAATTCCGTCCTGGCAAAGGTATGACTGAGCCCATTATCCTATCCAGCACCTAAAATAATAAAGATAACAGTATTTACAATTATTAAGGCACTAGAGTTGTTTATGCTTTGATTTGAATGTGGTAGTTAGTAGTAGGTAAATGACCAAGCAACCAGGATCTCCCTTTAAAATATTAGCAATTAGTTCAAATTTACCATGATATGAGATAAAGCCTAAATGTGAAATTTTATATTACTATTAGTATTATGTCAATCTTGTCAAAAATACTGGTTAACCTGCTTTTTTTCCCTTGATGTTTTGTGACTTTTTTTCTCATTTAGAGTCATGAACATGTATGCAAAGTTTTTACTATGTTTACATAGTTTGCCGGTCAATCTGCACAAAAGCAATATTTGTTATTTTGTGTCTTTTTCTACTCCCTAAGGATATTTACATTTATGTATTTGGCAGATGCATTTATCTTAAGAAATTTACACTGAGTTGACAGCGTACATTTGTGTCACTTCCTGCATGGTAATTTCACTGGGAATCGAACCCGTAATCTTTGCATTGCAAGCGATGCTTCTACAGTTTGAGCATTAGGAATGCACACAGAATAAATGTGACCCTGGACCACAAAACCAGTCTTAAGTCACTTGGATATATGTTTAGCAATAGCCAAAAAAACACTGTATGGGTCAAAATGATCGATTTTCTTTTATGCCAAAAATC